CATGGGCTGTGTGGTCCATGGGCTGTGTAACTCCATGGGCTGTGTAACTCCATGGGCTGTGTGGTCCATGGGCTGTGTGGTCCATGGGCTGTGTGGTCCATGGGCTGTGTAACTCCATGGGCTGTGTGGTCCATGGGCTGTGTAACTCCATGGGCTGTGTAACTCCATGGGCTGTGTAACTCCATGGGCTGTGTAACTCCATGGGCTGTGTAACTCCATGGGCTGTGTAACTCCATGGGCTCTGTAACTCCATGGGCTGTGTAACTCCATGGGCTGTGTAACTCCATGGGCTGTGTGGTCGTGGTCCTGGCGCTGCCCCTGCCCCGTGTGGCCGTGAGCAGTGCAGCAGCCCTTTGTGTGCAGCCGCGCACCGCAGCCCTGTGAGATCCTGCCGGCGGCTGCGCAGCACCTCGTTCCTCCGCTCACAGTTCATTTATGATTCTGATGAGAGCGTTTTTTCCAGGAAACACACATTTCGCTTTTTGACCTAGGAGCATCTGTTAGGATTTTTTTTTTAATACTACTTTGGCATTCTGGAAGTGTTAATGTCTTTCATATCTGTTTAATGCTATTTAGGGATATTTATGATCACCTCTCGGTTGCTCGGGGTAAAGTGTGTTGCCGTTCTTTTCAAACAGGCAGGAAAGCGTTCGTACGAGGAAACAGATTGCTTTGAACATGTGCTTCCTGTGACAGTAAAAAGAACAAATTAGATTTAGCGCTGCGTAGCGAATGCACAACCGCGTGCTTTTGGGCGTTCCGAAGCCGGGCGCTCGGTTCTGGCCCCAAGAGAAGCCGGCTGGGCCCCGCCGCGGTGCGGCTGACGATGTCTGTTGTCCGAGCGGGGAGGACGAAGGAAGCGGCGAGAGCTCGGCGGCCCGGGACCCCGCCTGGATGCGCCGGGGCCGCCTTCCTGCGCGCTCGCCGCATCTCGGTGCCGGGCCGCGTGCTGCCCTCGCCTCGCCGCCGTGCGCGGCCAGGCTGAGCTCCGCTCGGAAACGACAGGGGAGCAGATCGTGGCGTGGCTCCGTGCCGCAGCGGCGACCCGAACGAAACGTCGGCACAACGCAGCCGCTTGCTGCTCCGTGCCGGGCGGGCGGGAGGGAGCTTGGCCGGCCCCGGGCGACGCGCCGTACGTCCGCGCTGCGCCGTGCGCGCATCCCCGCTTCTCTTCGGGGACGCGTCGGGACAGAGGTGAAGGCGGCTCCCGGCCGGCCGCTCCTCTCCCGCCTCCTGTTTGCAGCCGCGTTGTGCCGCTCCCGGACGCGAGGCCGCTCCGGTGCGAGGAGCGCGGGATGTGGTGGCGCCGACGGCCCGGTGCCGTGCGGGCAGCTGGCGGTGCTGCGGGAGCCGAGCGGGAGGCCGCGGGCTGAGCGGTGCGGCGGTGGCCCGGCTGTGCCCACACTGCGCTGCTGTGCTGCTGGGCTGCTGCGCTGCTGTGCTGCTGTGCCCATCTCCCTGCTTGCTGTCCCCATCCCTGTTCCTCTCCCCATCCCTGTTCCTCTCCCCATCCCTGTTCCTCTCCCCATCCCTGTTCCTCTCCCCATCCCTGTTCCTCTCCCCATTCCTGTTCCTCTCCCCATCTCTCTGTTCCTCTCCCCATTTCCCTGTTCCTCTCCCCATTCCCATTCCTCTCCCCATCCCTGTTGCTGTGCCCATTTCCCTGTTCCTCTCC